ATGGACATCAAATTATAAAATATAACATTCAATCCATCTCTTTCTCCATGATCAATCCATACAAAATATATAGGCTTAAATCCATTATGGTACAAATAAACCATTATTGTACCTGATTGAAAAATTTTTAAGTACCTACATGCACTGCAAGGACAACTAACCTATCCATTATTCTTAAAAAAATCAAGTGTCATTCTTTTGTTCAATAAAATCTCTAACATTGTCAATAAATTCAGATTCCAAACCTACACCAATTTTATAATGCATACTATACATCCACAAACGATGATCCATCTACTCATATATAGATGTTCAATCATATTAATAAATTCAATAATAATTTTACTACATTAAACTAACAGAAAATGGTCTAAAATGCCCTCAAAGTATTGGAAATGGTATAAAATTACCCTCCATCCACCTATTGGCTCCTAAATACCTTTCCCACCCACCTATTGGGTCCAAAATACCCTTATCATCGACCTTTTGGTTCAAAATTGACCACTTATTTAACGGTTATATATTTAAACTATTTAACTATTTTTTTAAATACGTGGCGCTCAACTATTTGTTATAATTAACTTATTACTATAATTTATAAATCAATCCACTACCCATCCATTACTAATTAAACCCTCCAAATTAATAAATCACTCACATTATTAATGCAACAATAGAAAAGCTACTGTCAATTGAGTGTTTTAAAAAATTTGAGACGAAAAAATCTATAGAAGTAAATTATCATACATTCAAGTGTCTAAATAAAAATTACCGAAAAACTTAAAAGTCTGACTATGTTCATCTTAATTATTCTTACGTCTCAATTATGTGATGTTACTTCATAGGTAACTTTTTTTCAAAATAATATATTAAAAGTTTTAAAACAAATCATAAATATTTATAAAATTATATTTTAAAAAAGTGCATGAAGTAATTCGGGATGTATTACTTCTTTACCTTTAATCATAAATTTCTAATTCAATCTTGAAAGAGAATCAAATTGAAAGTGTACTCCTAAATAAGCGGCTCAACATAAATTTAATTGGGGCTTCGATTCGGACTCAAATAATTTTGTATGTCATTTTCATTAATCTATAATTTCATCGTGTTTTAGTAGTGTTTATGACGATTTTGATATTATAGTTGAATTATTAATTGGGTGGGGTTTAGTTAGTAATGGGTGGGTAGTGGGTTGGTTTATAAATAATACAAATAAATTAAATTATAACCAATAGTTGAACATCAAGTATTTTAAAAATATTTAAATAGTTTAAATTTAAAATCATTAAATAAGTGGTCAATTTTGAACTCAAAGGTGGATGACAAGGGTATTTTGGAGCCAATAGGTGGATGAAAAAGGACATTTTGGAGCCAATAGGTGGATAAAGAGTAATTTTGTACCATTTTCAATACTTCAAGGATATTCTAGACCCTTTTCCGTTAAACTAATTTATGTTGTTAATATAAATCTTATATTTCAAGATCTACAAAGTTAAAACTTAATTAATGAATGAATACTAATTAATTAAATTTAAATTCTAGTTAAGTTCAAAATTAAGTTTATATTCCTAATTAACTTTTCAAGTTATTATAAATTGATTAAGGTTAATATGATTTCAAGTACTTAAAAATTCTAATTAAGTTCTAGTTAAGTTAAAAATCAAGTTCTAATTGATTAAGATCAACAAAATGTCAAGTTCATATTCCTAATTTAGTTCAACTTATAGTAAATTCAAGTTATAAATAATTATAAGTTCTAATTACACTAAGTTGTAATTCAAATTCCTAAAATCTCAAATTCAAACTAGCTAGTCCTAAAATCACAAATTCAAACTATTACTCCTAAAATCTCAAATATAATTCAAATAAGTCCTAAATTTCAAATTCAAATTAGTCTTGAAATCACAAATTCAAACTAGTCGTGGTAGAATCCCAAATCAAACTAGTGCTAACTAAATTTCAAATTCAAACAATTAATCCTGAAATAATCTCAAATATAATTCAAACTAATATTAAATTTCAAATTCAAACTAGTCTTGAAATCACAAATTCAAACTATACCTAGAATCTCAAATCAAACTAGTGCTAATTAAAATTCCAAATTCAAACTATTAATCCTAAAATCTCAAATATAATTTAAATTAGTCCTAAATTTTAAATTCAAACTAGTCTCAAAATCACAAATTCAAACTAGTCCAAAAATTTCAAAATCAAACTAGTGCTAAAATCTCAAATTCGAAATAGCAAGTCCTAAAATTCAAAAATCAAACTAACTCAAATAATATCCAAATTCAAACAATTCCATATAAACCCTAATTCAAACTAGTTTTAAAATCTCAAAGTCAAACTAATTAACTCAAGAAATATCCAAATTCAGACGAGTTATAGGATCGATACCCTAATTCAAACTAACCCTAACATTAAAAATTCACTAAATAATAATTTCTAATTCAAACTAACTATAAATAAATAACAAAATCAAATAACTAGTAACAATTGAATCACTAACAAAATCAAATAAATTAATTACAATTAAACTTACAATAATATTAATTTTTTTTGGATAAATTAAATCCTAACCTTAAAAGAGAAGGAGAGAATGAAGAGAAAGGGAAAGGAGGCGACGACAACTTAGGCAGGTGAAGGCTCGCTAGTGCAGCAACGAATGACAACAATAAGGATCAAAGTGGAGAAAAGGAGAGAATATTGTGAAACGGAAAATGACAAATGAGAAATGGGGGAAATCGCATATATAACTATCAAATATTTAATGAAAGGCGACGGACATCATCTCTATGTCCGTTTCCTTTTTTTATATAGTTGATCAACATTTTGATAAAAAACAACGGACAGAACGATACAATCCTTCACTTATTTAAAATATTTGACCAGATATTTTGACCAAGAGTGACGAACATAAAGATGTTGTCTGTTGCTTTCATAAAAAACAATTAATAAAATAAAATAATTTAAAAGCGACAGAACGCGTGACTATTGTTAAATTTATATGTAATATTTTTAATTAAAAGTGAAGAACAACGTCTATATCTATATTGAATAAATAATTATTAATTTTAAATATATTTGATGCAAAAATTAGCTGAAAAAAGCGACGGACAAATAGAGATGATGTCCGATCTGTTGATTTTGTAAAATAATTTAAAAAATAATTATTTTTATTAAAAGTGACGGACAGTGTGTCAAATGATATCATTTTTTGGAGCGAAGTCATCCGTCACTTTTCTATATGTCGTTTTTAGCAGCTTTTTAGTAGTGTATCCATAAACACAAGACAATCACTAGCTTGATTTACCATTCTACTATGTTTTCAATTTCTTATGCCTACTCCTTGACCCATTTTGAAACAGTAAATAAAACTGACGCTTTAGATCATTTCTTTCATAGTAAAACTAGAGTACTACACCCAACATCATCTATAAGCCGAGCTCATCAAGATAAATGAAAAACTCAATTTGAAACAACTAAGAACTGTTTCCACATATATTCAACCATGTAGTTGAAATAATTGTGAAGATAAACTTCTAAACACTGACTTGTCCGTAAAAAATAACATATACTTACTATTGATAGTAATATAGTCCAGACTCCTCGTCCTTATCCTGACTTAACAATAGCATGAAACATGTTAAAAATCTGAGCAACCTAGACCACTTAAGGATCCAACATGCAACAATTATATTGTGAAGATCTAAACCAGGTTCACTCATAGAACCATAAATACATACTTGGTTGTCTCATGGAATCCAAAGTCAAACTATTAATATACCATTGTGGTATTCGAGTCATCCTTAGTTTATCTATCAGTGTAGTACTCGAGTCACCTATATATGTATATATCTATACTAGACATGATATTCAGGCCAACCCTTATTTTATACTAGGCGTGGTATCGGAGATAACCGTTAGGACATCTTGTATCAAATGTGGAACTTAAGTCAACCATCAATATATGCAATTATGTACAATCACAAACATCATGATCAGTAGCACTTGAAATCACAAGTCACATAATCAGTTCATTGCATAAGATTATTAACATGTTGTCATTATGTATGCTTCCCTATGGTCTGCCATAATGCATACACAAACGATAGAGCAAGCAGTAAACATGCAAACCTATGTCTAGTGAACCACACAACCATTCTAACCAGGATTTTCAAGTCTAAACAAGAATTAGAGAACCACCCCTAGACATTATTTCGTATCTCGCCTTTATAATAATAATGACAACATATAACTATCTAGACTTCGTGCTCGATGGCCTATACATGTAATCTTCCAACATGTACATGATATAATACGGTAAGAAAATCTAGAGCCGAACAACAACTGATGAACCTTGCCCATGAATTTTGACTCCGCGAGAGCAACCTATGATGAACGAGCACAAAAAAATACTTAGGCTTTCACCTTCTTTGCCTAATAATTCTTCCCCCTAATTGTTCCCTTGCACCGGGTGCCTTTAGAGGGTTTTCAGAGCGTCCCTCGCCTATTCTTTTTCCTTTCAAAAGTAGAGAAAAAAATGATGCATTAATTAGGTTGCACAATTTTGACATCCCACTAATGCAAAATTCAGACTGCTATAGCGACGCCACCATAACAGATAGCCTCTCCTATGACGGGCCAACATAAGCCTGAATCAAAATTAAATTTGGGCTAAAATTATTATGAACTTAAATTTTTAAAATTTCTCGCACCACACTTTCAGATTTTTGAAACTCCGTACAATATGCTGTTTAACAATAATAAATAGAATCGTTACATAAAAAGACATTTTAATCCATTATATAACAATAGAAATATTTTTAGATAAAATTATTAAACACAAATATATTATACATATTATGATACAACAAGTAAGAACCATCCAAACAAACTAGTATTGCTTATTAATCTTTGTAGGATCATTTTAGAAGTAACAAAGAAATTGAATACATAATTTGACATGATAAAATTGTTTTGGGACCTAACCAAACATTTACAATTTTCCCAAAAGATTCCACATTTTATGAATTGTAAGCTCACGCAGTTCTATGCACAGCTAGCTTTAAAGAAAACACAGAAAGAACAATGTATGGAGTGAAGGGTATTGTGCTAGACGCTTCAATTCTGTTGAAATCCGGTGATGATGAAAATGGGAGTCCCTCTCTTAGACCTGATGCTGATTATGTTCTTCGCAAGCTTCGATACTCCAACATCTTCACTGTAAAAATATCAACTTTTTCTTGATTTTTTTGCCATTTTATTGTTTTCTATTTGATTCTTGAAAGATTGTAGAATTCCGAAGAATTGTTTAGCAAATTAGTTGGGTTTTGAATGTTCATGTATGTATTATGTTTCTGTTAAGTTACATGCAACCAATTTATTAAGACTCAATTTCAAATAAGTTGGATTTGGTATACGGATCTTTTGGTTTATGGGGTTATCGCATCAAAGAACTGTCTTTTAGTGTTGTTCTTTATTTGGGTTTGGAAATTGACTGTGCTGTGGTCAGTGGCTAATCCAGAATTTTCATGTTTGGGATTTGAAATATGAACTGAATTTTGACCCCTTAAACCACTAAGCTAACGTATAGTCTTGTGTTCAGGGGGTTCAGTATTATATACTAAAAATTAAAAATAAACATACTTTATATATGCAGTGTAATTTTTTTGCTGAGGGGTTAGATCCGCCCTTGGCTGTGTGTAACTCACATTGTCATTGTTGTCTTCTTTCTGGGTTTTTAGCTTCTGAGTTCTTTCTTGATTATCCATGTAATTGGAAGTTGTTACAATAGCTTGATGATAATCATTGTTCAATCTAATTTTGCCAAATTGTTTCTTCTTTTTTGTTATTCTCAATTGGGTAAAGATGGTTTTTATACGGAAATTTGCTATATTGCTGAAATAATTGGATTTATGAGTTGTAAGAAATTTTTTTTCTCCTTATAATTATTTGTGGTAGTTGAGGAATTGTTTGATTTTATGAATGAAATTTATACCTTTCAATTTTTGTAGGGTATATCCTATGGACCGGATCTTTCTGCTCCTAAGGTGATGTCCTTTCTGCTTTTTTGTTTTGCATTTCTTTCGGCGTATCACGTTTAGTGATGTGGTTGTGTAAAGAAATGTTTTGCACTAGTATTCCTATTGTCTCAAAGTTTCCCTGCCTACCAAAATAGTTTAAATGTCTTCATCAATAGTTTTTATATCCATGTCCTTCTATTTCTTCATTTTTCTTCAATATTTGGTCCTTGGCTTGTTTCTTTTAGTTCTCAAGTCCCGAATTTTTTCACCTTATGAGCGGAACTACAACAATGATGTGGACTGATATTTTTTCAGAAAAATTGGAATCTCAAACAATTGCAACTGCTTGTTTTAGGTGCGCCTCCTCCAAGAAAGCGCAAGACTATATTCCTACAATTGTTTTGTCTTCAGGCCATCAGCCATAGACAGCTTTATAAGTGAGGTTTCTTTGGAATGGGGCGACATTACTGGAAGTTATATGCATGTCGTTTCCAGTTACAAAGACGAGGAGATTGCCCAAATGATAAGTTCTGGCTGGCTGATCACTGCTCTACGTGAGTTCCAATGCATTGACCTTCTGTTCTTTTTTGTTTTGATAAGCCAACTATGCATTGATAACCTATAGAAAAAGGGAAAAAGTGAAACAAGAAGAAACCACATGAAGTCTTCTGATTTAAGTAACTGAGATGTTCCCTTTACTTGTTGCTGATGATTGACTGTTTTTAGCCTTCAAAGCGACCTATTTCTTAAAAGCATTTCACTCTATACATCTAACATTTAGAAGGTTCTTTTGAGGATCATTGGATTTTCAAATTTATGCTCCATGAAAGGGTTCAAAAACTCAAAAAGGCTGCACCTTTCTCAAAACTAAAAATCACTTACATTACCAAACTAAAGTCCTTACCAATATATAACCTGTTTTTTATTATTGGGGTGAATGGGTATGATAATTATCCGCTGGAGGTTTAATATCTGTAGTCACTACGGGTGGAAAGTTTGTTTTCATTCTCTCACATATGTGCTTGCAAGCATCTCATCATCCGACCTCTTTTTGCAGGATCTCCTGGAAAAGCATCAGGTATAAGCTCACAACTATCTTGTCCCTTCAAACAATAGTTTCGAACAGTTTAAAGGATTTCTTTTCCATTCTCTGGAGAACTCCTTTGTTCTAGCTTGTGAATTGCTGTTGTTATTCATATTGAAGAAATTTGTTGGCTTCTGTCAAGTGGTGAGATTGTTGTTTTCTTCTGAATCTGAAAAATTTCTACATTTACGTCAGATGTTGAATATAGTACTGGAACTGAAAATCCAAGCAAGATTTTCATTAACAAGCTTGAAGAACTGCCTCTGACTATCTGCCATTTAAATAAAAAGGTGAGAAGAAATATTGTGTACTGGTGTGCATTTGGATTCCTTAAACTTCTTAATTAAGATTTACTGGCAACTCCGTAATAGCTCCACCATAGTGGCTTCTCTGAAACATTTGGTCATTTATTCCGTGCCGAAGCTACTGTTAGTTCGTACCACATGATGTTTTCTCCAGGCCGAGCTTCAACGCATCCTATGGCTTTCAACATGACCTTTTTTTAGTTTTATCTTAGAAAAATAACAGTTTTATTAACATGGTGGGGAAGTTACCGCTATACAGGTGGTATACAAAAGTAGAGAGCCTACATAGGGTTGTGGATGTATAAAATTTCATATTTTGCGAGGCTTTTGATTCCATGGGATGATCCTGGTACATATTTCGTCATATTGAGTGAAAAGAATGCAATAAAGAGGAAATGTATGTGTCCAGAAACGTGAAAGATGTGGAAGAGTTTATTTTTTCAAAGATCTTAGAATAGTTAGTTTCTTCTGTAGCTGAATGACTGATATCCTATCCAAACAAATCATAAAGAACGAATCTTTAGTGAGAAATTGTACCCCAATTAGATGTTGTTAATGATGTGTAAGAGACATATTTAGTGAACAGATTCCTCTTATTTTATTTATTCACTGGCAGCGGCAGGAACATAGAGCCATTTTAATGCTGTCTAAACAATACTTAACTCTTGAGTGTAATTTTTTTAATTGTTAAAAAAAAAGTATAAACTAATGAAGAATTTTTTTTGTATCCTTTAGAAATTGGTTGGGAGCGTAACGATTAATGTTCTTAAGGATTCTTTATTTTATGCTATGGGTAAGCAGGCAATGGGCAAGGATGTCAAGACGGTTGGTTACTTGATGAAGCCTTCTCGTGAAGAAGATTTTGCCAAGGTCAGTTCTGGTGGCAAAATGAGTTGAGTACTTATTTATTGTGCATAAATGGTTGTCAGGCATTCAAACTTCTTGCATAATTTCAAATAATTAATGTTTTGTGTATGTCTTCTCCATGATCCCCAGCTTTTAAAATTTTTTGAAGTAGGCTTTTTCTGTTGGTTCATATGATGAAATGTAGCTAGTGCTTTGCTTGACTTAGGAACCTTTCATGTTATGTTTTGAGACTTGACATATTTCTTATGTTTTGCAGAGAGGGGCATTCCCCCTAAAACCTACACCAAACGGATTAATTTTTGTGCCCCTAACTTACGAGCTCCCTATATCACAGCAGTTACAAGAAATTGACGGTGTTCTACATAAAGCAACTGATGACATCATTACTGTTGAAATGAGCAGCTCTTCAGATTCTGAAAACAAAGTTACTTTTACAGCGGGCATGCAAGAGTTACAAAGGTGACTTCCAGCTGTTAATTTATAATGGCTTAATAATATGCTGCAGAATAGAAAAAGGGGTGATGATTTTTTACTATATCTCCTTTAAGTGCCTTCAAACTTCTATCGCAACTACATGATAAGAAGGTAACCTGTACACTACATGATAAGAAGGAAAGAACTTGCCCGCACCCAGTGTGTACATATCATGGTTAAGTGATTGAATGTGATGAGAATCTATATTACTGGGCATGGTTTAGTGCAAGAAGTGTTTGAGGAAATAAATACCATGAATCTATTTTTTCGGTAAACACCTGGTTTGGGTAAATTTTTACCTGATAAGAATCTCAATTTGTCATTTCTTTATGTGAATCACCTTAGTACCCTTCAATTTGTCAACCTGAGAAAATAGGGTGTTCAGAAATTCATAGCTATATACTAAACACTGGAAGTCTGTTCAACTAAGCGCATCCTCAAAACTTCTAAGCATGAAGTTGTTAGAGGTAATCCAAGAGAGACATACCAAGGATTGTTATGGTTGCCAAGAGACCCTATTGTTTAAGCTGGAATTGAAAATCCGAAAGCTAAATATCAATAATAACATGATGTAGATGATAATAAAGGTTTAGCTAGCTCTAACTATGTGCCCAAGTTCATGTTTAGATCGGAGAGCTATACCCTGTTGGTCGAAATAAGTTTGTATCTTTATCTTATGTTCTGTAAAGCTCATGATGGCTTGGAGCGATCAAAAATATTTAATGATTTCATTCATTCTCTATAGCCTCTCTGATAATGATAATTTGTTGATAGCAAAATGTGGATGCTGTTCATAGATCGTTGTAATTTCTTGATGGAAATGACTTTCTTCAAGCAGCTGAATGACATCTTTAATATTTTTGCATTATCTTTTATTTTCCTGATTGTTTATGTCATATTTCTATCTATCTGAAAAATGCATTGCATCACATTTTGCAGCTTGAACTGGTAACGAGTGTCGAATTAATTTCTGGAAACTTGGATGGAATTTTCTGAAATGCATTTAGAACTTTCTGTTTAAGCTGAAATAAGTTCATGTCAGAGGAGTTGGTTTAAATCACACTAAATCTCCTTTGGTTATTTTCTGTTCAGGTACATCGGATGCCATCTAGACTGTCGTTTGATTGACCCATTCACCAACATATATCCTGTTCTTGATCGGTTGAAAATACAGCAGATTCTAGGTGGTTTGGAAAATCTTAACAGTAAAAGCTGCAGTAAAATCAGAGGTCCCCATTTTCTAAAGGTCCTTTTTCCTAAATGGTACCCATGTTATGCTTACATTAAAAAATCTACTGTGAAATCTTTGTGACTTCAGTCCCTAATCTTTTCCTTATTGATTCATAATTGCATCATCTGTTTCTTTATTTCTTCATTCAGCAGCCTGCTTTTCTGAAGCTATGTTAAGCGAGGCCTTATTTTGGGGTGTCAGTTCCCACCAAATATATGGGTACCATGTGTTTTGGATGGGATCAAGTGCTATAGGCTTTCTGCAATCTGAGTTGATGGTGTCTTTAAGTGGGGTTAAGGGATAACAATAGTGGATCAGCTTGGTTAGTCCAGGAGAAAGTTTTAGGCTTTTCCCACTCCATGAATGAAAAAGATCAGTCACTTTGTTGCTTTACAAGGGCCATCCAAGTTGAAGTTGCTTGGTTGGGATGAAATTGTTTATACTATGGAATTTTTTGTCTAGCCAATCCAGTAGTTGATATGGTTATATAGAGCCTTACCTGAGAATAAAACATGGCCGAAAAGAAGGAAAGTATTATGCTACGACAAGTCATTTTATGAATAGCATATTCAACTATAGTATTTAGATGCTTAGGCATCGTTTTTGGGTTTTGTTGTTTGCTCATTATGAGCTCTCTTCACAGTTATTGGGGGCATCTTTCAGTAAGACTGTTTTCAAGAGTTTACCTGGTACCATTTTTTTCTAAAGTTAATCATTTTGTTCTGTTGTTATCACTGCTTAGATCAGGTAGGTTAAATTTGAAGTTGAAAAATTTAATTAAACACAATACTTAAAGATTTTATCTGTATCTTATATTTCTTTGAGATTAAGATCTTTGTATGTGTTCCTCAAATTGCCTCACTATTTGATGATCTAAAACCGAACTGTGAACCCAAAAACTGGATAAGAAAACGCTACAATACTTCAGTTTATGGTGGTTCACTACTCATTTTATCATTTATCATATAAATCTGTAGGTATGTGAACATCAGTTTTATCTACTTGCTAGATATTTGATTTAACATGCATTTCTTCGAGCAGGTTGTTGATTTTCGTGAGCCCAAGTTGGAAGACAAGCTAGCCGATGCAAAACTGTCACTTCCGAACATTGTAAAACCCCAAGTTGCTTGTGGAGTTGCTGATGCTCACAGCATGGTAATGCTGAATTCTCAATAATACTCTTTGTCCCTCTCTCTTTCTCTCTGTACATATATATTGGGAACTTCTACTCCATAATAGGTTTGGTATATGGATTCCTCCGTTTGATGTTATTAAATTTTTTGACTATATTTGCTTCAGCTCCAAGCTTTGCTTTTATATGTCTTCCATCTTTTTTTTTTCATTTGTCCTGTGAATTGTCAATTGATTTTGCAACTTCCTTTTTGATAAGTGATTTTTCTTGTATGGCAGTCTTACGTAGAATTTTTAATGGACAGGCCATTGTCTTCAAGGAAGACAGCTACAAAGACCTCAATGTCCCTCTTCCAGCTATTGTGCAGGTAAACAAGGAGCTATATGTAATGAATATAATATTTTAATCAGCATCTTGAATGGTAGAACTGGTTTAACTTGAAGATTCTAAGTTGGTGCCTTTGTGAAAGTGTTGCGTATTTTTTCATCCATATGTAAGATGCATTCCTTATATGCAAATGGCAATGGGTAGGCACTTGATTGTATCAGGTACTGATCAGATTTGCGAGATGTTTTGGAAGCACGGATATTGTGCGAACAACAATTCTCATCTAAATAATTATTTCCTTCTAACATAAGCTTTCTCCTCCAAGTTAAATATGAAGACAAGTGTAACTGCAGGAATATGTGGATCATTCATCCACCATGTTCAAGTTTTACGTTGTTGGGAAGAAGATGTTCTTCGCAATTAAGAAGTCTACACCTAATGCAGATACCTTGATAAAGTTAGCTGAAGAAAAACAGTTGAAGCCGTTACTTTTTGATAGGTACTTTACCACTTCAAATTCCTCGTCTGCTATATGCATTTTCTATGCCTCTTAAGATCACCTATTTTTGCAGTTTAAAATCTCTACCCGTTGACACGCTAAAAAGCCAAAATGAAGATAATACACAAATTGATCATGAGCTAGTCACTGATGCTGCAAATTGGTTGAGAAGGGTACTTGACCTTACTATTTTTGGCTTTGATGTTGTGGTAAGTACTTTCATATTCCTCACCCCTTACAACCTATGTTTTAGCTGATTAACCTTTTGTCTTCATTTTTTGTGGGAAATTAAAGAGAAACAAATTGGATTAGCTTTAGGAGAATAAGATGTCCATAATAGCTGTTAAAAAGATAATGCTCCTCCATGCTCTAAACCAACATCCCACGTAAATTCTTTAACTTGTACTCTTGTAGTAAGACTGAATCATCTGATAATCTTGTGAGAGCTGTGTAGTGAGGCGTCAAATAGGACAGGTTCACTCAGTGATTGTGGACAAGCATACATGTATCATTCTTCTCTATTCTTTTGTCGAAATTTTAAGTATTGACAATCTCTATGTAAAGAAAGATCTCTCCACCAAAATATATTATTCCTTGACTCCCTTATGTAGTGCTTTGATTCTTCTTTCTCTCCACAACGAAGAGAGGGCCTTGTGCTAGTCAGTTTAGCAATGACATTGTAAAATGAATGGAACATTAAAAACAGACTTAACTCTTATCAGCAAGCCTCTTCTTTGGACATTTGCCTATGGTGCCTCTTCTTTGATCTTCTATAGTTGCCTATTTGCTTTTGTTCTGTCAGGATAATTGATTTGTAACCGAGAGGTAAAAAGGAGAACCATAACAAGGTTTTAATAACATCTGCCAGGGCCAAAAATAATCATATCTCAAATCTCATCTTCTTCTATATCCTTGTTGCTAAGCTGATAATTTTGCCACAGATAAGTGAAATAGAAAGTGATAAATAATAGTTAAAGGGAATAGGACTCGAGCAACACACGTTGTGATTGTGATAATGACTTCTGAATCGAATCTCAGATCCAGGAAAGCACCGGTGACCATGTCATTGTTGATGTAAATTACCTCCCATCGTTTAAGGAAGTTCCTGATGAGGTTGCAATACCGAAATTTTGGGAAGCCATAAAGGAGAAGCTCACTGGAAAACAAAGCACAGAAGCAGCAATATTGTTGTAATATTCATCTTAGTAGCAGGACTGACTAATAAAAAGGTTATATACAACAAACACTGACTACCCTATTCTCTTTTGCTATTTGTGTTATTAACTGTAACTTATTCTGTAAATTCGAAATCCTATTTCATTCTGCTCAGCTTAAGTTCTAGATTTGAACATTAACCATCTGCTGTTTCTATAATTTGAAATATCAGGAAGTTGATTCCCTTATCTCTCATCCATCTATTTGGATTTAGGGGTGTGTTCAGTACGACGGAAAACTACTTATTTTCTCGTGTTCGGTAGGTAAGCAAAATATATTATCCTAAAAACATTTGTATATAATTTGGACATACTATGAGAGGTGGGGGTGAAGATTAGGTGTGTTGGAGTGTAGGGAGAACACGATCTAGTAGAGCTTGTTTTCCCTACTTCCATTAGGGAACTCATATATCCCATTTTTAAGGAGCTTGTCTTTTTAGAGAAAATGTTTTTCGAAATATTTGATCAATCGAATATGAGAAAATTGGAAAATGTTTAACAAACACACCCTTGAAGAGTGGTTTTGTATATTTCAGATTGAGGCAGAATATAGAAGAGATGTGTGTTAGAGTTTAACATCTCCCTAGAAATAAAATGTTTGGGCATTCTTTTTGGACCGTCAAAGTCTTGAAGGATAGAGTTATTCTGTTTTAGTATAAGTTAGTAAGTAATCCTCGAATAGTCAAGGTGCATGTAAACTAGTATTGATACATTACTAATAAATAAAATAATTGTGTTAGGGTTGTTTGATTTGAAGGACAAGAGATTATAATTTTGGGATTAATTTGGTTAGGAGAAAGATTATAATTTTGAGAGCAGCTTATCCCATGTTTTGTAGGCAATTTTCTTGATTATTTATATCACAATATTTTGGTGGAGCTGAAAATTGAAAAGACCACATATCAGGTCTATACATTTTTTTTTTGGTATTATGTATTTATGTTTTATTTTCTTCAAAGTATGAAATATCTATTGAAGTATATTTTATTACATATATAATTTTATATGGTATATTATTGTACTACCCAAATTTATAAGCTAGACTATGAGTGTGTTCGGTATGAAGGAAAACATTTTCTGGAAAATGTTTTCCAATTTTCTCATGTTTGGTTGGGGCAAAAGTTTTGGAAAATGTTTTCCAAATCAACTCATTTTCCTCAAAATTAAGGAAAATGACTTCCCTTCAAAAATTAAGGAAAACATTTTCCAAAGGTCTACTCCAATTTTAAATTACATTTTTTTTGAAAACATAAATTTTAAAAAAAATATTTTCAATTTCAAAATTTTATTTTTTCACCAATTTCTGACCACCCTCCCCCTCTACCCCCCCGGGCCCCCAACACCACCCCCTCCCCAAAAAATTAATTTTACTTTTTAAAAATATTTTCAACTCCAAATTTTTATTTTTAAGCTCCTACCTCTCCCCCCCGGCCAGCCCCCTACCAACCCCAAAAATTTAATTTAATTTTTTAAAAATACTATCAACTTCAAATTTTTATTTTTTCATTCCTACCTCCTCCCTCTGCGTCCCCACCCCCCACACCACTACCCCCACCCCTTATCACCACCATCCCAAAAAAATTATTTTTAAAAAATATTTTTAATTTCATAAATTATTTTGTATTCTAGTAAAAATAAAAAATATTCCTCAAAAATATTTTCCATTCATAAATCAAACACTAAAAATCATTTTCGAAAAATATTTTCTACCCACCAACCAAACATGAGAAAATAAGTCTAAAATCTACTTGTTTTCCAGGAAAACATTTTCCATGGAAAACTTTTTCCTTCGTACCAAACACACCCTATATATCTTGATTGAAGTGTCTTTTGTCTAATTGATTAAAGCAGAGAATTGCCTGTACTTTCTTTTGTACTTTAAATTTGTACACGTTTAAGGTGACCATATGATATAATTGTGACATTTTAAAATAAATTTAAGTCATAATTCTCTATTATATGTAAGTCGAAGTCAACTAAACTATAATTATCATCAAAATTTAGCTTAAAAATATTGAATCATATTAAATTAATTTGTTATTATAATAATATGATATATTTGTAAAATAAAAGATTAAAAATTATCGAAACAATTTTTCAATATCATGTCCAAGATTATGATTTCAAGGTGAATGTTAGCCACAGTTTGGAGAATTGTTTGTTTGGTATGTGTTGGAACTTTGGTCTACACCAAGAAATGACTTGATTAGAGTCTGAATAATTGTGTTCATTTGAAAATAAATAAAAATTGAAATACTACGTAAACGTGTCATTTAATTTGATTTTAGTTGATATTTATGTTCTTTCATTTTAGGGAAAATTATATATAATAGCAAACTAATAACCTAAAATAAATGGAATAGCTAGGGTTTGATTTAATTGTGCTCCGTAGCAAACGTTAGCTAAAATTTGCTAGCGTCTCTCTTCCAGAAATCTCGCTCGCCACTCTCCATTCTCGCTCGCCTCTCTTGCTTTATACACAGAAGTGTATGATTCTGTTTTTGTTTTGTATAAAGCGAGAGAAAATTGTATATACACATGCAAAAATATATATCTTCGTGTTATACACTTAATTATACAATTTACAAACATTTTACTTCAAATATTGCAGAGAAAAAGGCCAACGAATTATACAATTGCAAATTATACAATTGCAGTGAAATACAATTTTCTCTAGCTTTATACAACAGAAGTGTATATATTGTGTTTCCGTTTTTGTATAAAGCGAGAAAAACATATATCTTCTTGCTATACACTTATAATTATGCAATATACATACATTTTAATTCGACTCAACTGTATGCAAAGCAAATCATACAATTGCAGCGAAATAGGCTAGCGAATTATACAATTTAGGCTAGCGAATTTTACAATTTAGGCCAGCGAATTATACAATTGTATATGTATAGCGAATTATACAGTTTTATGTTTGCTATGGAGCGCAATTATGCAAACTTTGCTATAACATACAAATATGAATTTTTTGTTTGCTATATGTGAAAGTTGCCCAATTTGCCTTAATTTTAGGTGTGCTTAAATAAGCATTTAAACTTGTATAAACTTGAGAAAGTAGACAAAACACATGATGTTTTGCATAGCAGTTCACATTTTATGTATGTATATTTATTTAATTTTATACAACTTTAAATGTCTACAAATATACATCTATAGTTACAAAAATAGAATTAATATTAGCTAAAAGAACACGTTAACATATTATGCGATAAAAAAGAATAGGTTCATTGTAAAGACAAAAAGATCAAAAATATTTATTTTAATTATATCTTTTAAGGTAGATCATCACCAACTTATTCCCTACCACTGTCTAAGCAAATAGATTATTTAGGATTTATTGGGAAATAAAGTTGCAGCTTAATAAAAATGTCGGTAAACCTTTTTTCTTTTCGCATTTGTTATTTTAGGGGGAAAATAATAATAATAATAATAATAATAATAATAATAATAATAATAATAATAATAATAATAATAATAATATCTCTAAAATAAATAATAACAGATTTAGAGAAGAGAGATGAGTGAGACGAAAAAAAGAGACGTACAAAAAGTATCTTATCTTAGATACAATCTGTATCTCAATTGGAGTTGAGGTATACAGATCACGTATACACAATTGCATAACTCTAATTTCTTTCTTCCAAATCTTGCTCTCCTTTTTAAATTTGCATGCAGATATACAAGTACACACAAACTTTAAAATTGAAACATAGACATAAATGCACAAATACCTCAGTAGACTATGATCAAAATTGCAGAGATATACTTCAACTAAACTAAGGTCCTATTATACTCATGAACTTATTTTCTTTGTAATTTTTGGCAACTTTTTAGTTTACGTGACATCCAAATATCTCCTACGCGCCTCAATTGAGTGGACTCACGGAGTGTACCACATAAGACAAAAAATGTATAAATTACAAAAAAAAAAGTTCAGGGGGTAATAGGACCTTAGCTTAGTTAAAGTGTATATGTCTTAGAAATTTCGGTCATAATTTAGGGGTTACTTGTGCTGTTGTGCATTTTACCATTTTAATACAAAATTATAATTACGATAAAATCTTATTAAATTAATATTTAGTTAATCAATAATCTCTTTAAGACAATATTTTTCTCTGGTTCTGATTTGGGCGAATAGAAAAAATCAGCATTTTGATAAGACAATAAAAAGATATATTGTCTTAGATATACAATCTAAGACAATTTAATGAAATATACTTCTATCGTGTTGTGTTTTTTGTTAAATTTGGTTCTAATTGAAGCTACTCTCTAACTTTTCTTACTTTCATCCAAAAGTTCATGTGTTGTCTTTTTGAACTACATCATAAAATTGTGAAAAATTCTAAACGTGATAAGTTTTTCCTTATCTGTAACTAGTTGATTCCAAATGTATTGTATCATCTTCAACTTTATCATCATTATTTTTCTTCAATGGAAATAATTTTAAGTATTTGAAAAAAAGAAAAAGACCTCTTTTTTATAGCCATTTTCAGCAGAAATGTATATGTTCAGAAAAATCTATTCAGACCTGTTTTTTTCAGAAAGTTGTGTCTTTTGAGAAAAATAACGACTTTTCGGAAGAAACAAGTACCTTCAGTTCGTTATTACCGTTGCACGTGAATCTGTTATTTAATTAACATTCTGAATTAATTTATAAGTGAAAAGAAATCGATTAACAGGATTTATTTGATTAACAAAATTGATTAAATAATTTTTATTCAAAAACTTATGGATCACATCATTTGTCAAATTCAAATCCAGATTTGGAGTCGAGGCCGAGCGAGCGACGACGACGGTGCAAGGGGGCACCGTCTTCTTAACCCTTTAAGAAATAAATGAAGTGTTTTCTAACAGTCACGACCGGGGAGCACCCCCTAGAAATAACACAGTGTACTTGACCTCTCGGATTTCTTGTACAAGCCTTAAACATCTTTCATTTCATAGACATAGAAATTTAGCGGAAAATTTAAAACTTTTCATAGCACATCATATGCTAGATCACTTCATATATATGTAAAATATCATAAGTACATAATTAGACTCTAAGTCTCATTTTCCATTTTAGACTCAACATCAATAAAGTAGAATAGGGACACGATCCCTAACAACATAAAATAATAATCTAAGCTATTACATAAACTTAAAGAACACCTTGACATATGCAATCCTTGAAT